TCTGATACACAGCTGGTCAGATGCTTCCCTGCAAAAATAGCTTGTCTGTCTGGAGCAGAATGAACAATGCAGAGCTCTACGTTAAAATGTCCCTCAGTTCCCCGATAGATACATCTCGCTTCTGGTGAAACGGAAACCCAGAGATCTTATATCTTCCATCTCGGCCTGTAGCTGGGCCAAAGTAAGACTCTCTGTGATTCTTTCCTGGTGCTGTCGCTTAGCTTGGGATTTACTACTAAGAAAGGCAGTGAATTTTAAAGGCTATTCCCCAAAGTGACCCTCGAGATAAAAAAAACTGGCTTAAGACTCCCAAAGACTGACAACCACAATGGAAGTGTGTCTTTCAGAGCTTCAAGAGTCAAAATATTCCCAAGTCTACATACCTAGGGAAAAAAAATCAAATATACCTTCCTTAAAGCAACATCCTGAGGGAGCGTACAGTTTTTCCTTACAACTTAAGAAATCAATTAGTTCTTGCAACCAATGCAGGCGCTGAAACAAAACCATAGAATCAGAGTCGGTGTGATGTTCATGAGGAAATGATGACATGTGAAGAAGGGGTTAATAGCCACAAACAGAGGGATACTTACAGTATATAGCTCATTCAGGACCTTCATCATGTCCTCCTGGAGCTGAAAGGTGATGTCTTTGGTCTGAAAAAAGGAAATCAGTGATTTCATCAGTATACGCATCTCCACATTGCCTGCCAATATTAGAATGCGAGCCTTCGCTTGTACAGGAGAGATGTAAGCTGTGGGTTTCAGTGTTTTTTTTCCTGAGGAACGCTATGAGTCTATGTGGGGGTCAGATTACAGGATTTCGGCTGTGGTACACCCACCCCCGACCATTAGAAATCACGCCAATCTACTCCTTTACATACCGGCTCAAAACCATGCACACTTTGATGATTACATGAGCATTAATCTCATTTTATGGGCACTGCCCTGCAGCTGGCAGTAACAAGACGCCAAGAAAGGGGAGTAAATACCCAAAAAGAATCCCACTTAGCCCTCGTCCACACCACTGGGAGGAGCAGGAAGCCCTCGGCATTGCTCTCAATGCTTAATGTCATAAATACAGGCTGAATTTAGGGCAATTAAAATAAACACACTCCCCTGTCTTTAGTTAAGAGGAATTAAACTACGCACGTGTGTCTCGCTGAAGTTTTAATCATTTACAGTGCGAAACTCAATTAATCTTTTATACTGAAACAATCGTAGCTGTATTTCGGAATGACTCCCAAGGTGAAAGACTTCCATTCGTCTCCGTTTTATAACTCATTCACCGAGTTAATGACACCCATTCACTGTAATGTACACCCACGTATCCTCCAGACCAACGGAAGAGGTCCTGGCGTGTGCGTGCATGAGGGAGAGAGCAAGCACGTCTGAATGGTGGAGGACAGAGGAAAGCCTTCAGGATGTTCCATCTATGGGTCTGAAGGAACTCTCTACAATTGGCTGGAGGAGCCTTGGAAGAACACAGAAGGGAACGGGGGTGGAGTAAAAGCATCTCCATACTGTGGACTCAAGGAATGGCTTCAGGGGTGCCCCCCCCAGGTAAAATCTCACGCAATGACCTCCTGAAGGACCCCAGTTGCAACATGATATTTCTGCTCTACTCCCAAGCGCCCAGCATCCATCTGGGATCAGAACTAACATTTATATTTATTTATTTCACAGGCACTTTGATCCAAAGTGACACACAACAGTAAAAACAGGGTAATTCTGTCCCTGGAGCAACTGAAGATCAAGTTGCTTCCTCAAGGTGAAATCACTCTGCTGGCCACGGGACTCGAACCTACAACCTTCTAATCACAGGTACAGCGTTCAAAGGTACCAGCAAGCCCCCGGGACAGGGATCCTACATTACAGGAGTCCATCTGACATACCTGCACAGGTGTAGCCACACGCGAGTAAGAGCCATTGGACAGTAGTCCAAGATCACAAGTTCAGCGAGCGAGAGAGACTTCTGGAAACAAATGAGAGGTTCGGTTGACAGTGAGTGTCGAACCTAGTACTGACACGATGGATTGTGAGTTCACCTGACAAGCAGTTGAAGATATAAGTGAGATGATGATCCACCTGGCTGTGAGGGAACCTGCCGGTGATTCGTCTTAATGCCAAAGATTTACTGCTTTGTGACGGGTGACTCATACAAGCCTCAGTCTCAAGTCATCCCCGATGTATGACAACGAGCAGGAGAAATGATGATTAAAGCCAGTACCTCAGCTTTGTATCAATAAAAACAAGAGACCATGGGTGTTTACGGGGACGGCCAGACACGCAGGGACCCCCCAGTACTCAGACCACCTGCTCTTTCAGCTGTAACTAACTCCGTCTGCCTGTCTGGCTAAAACAATGTGCTTGGATTCTAAGTAGGAATTGTTTAAAGTGGCAGAGAGGTCATGAATCAATTAAATAGCATTGTTTTGTTACCCTTTGTTCGTTTCCTAAAAAGCAATTCATTTTATTTAAATTAAAACCTATTCTGATGAACAATGTGCAGAGCATTTGGAGGCTAGAGAGTGTTCCTCTCAAGCGAAAATCTAAGGCAGTACAGTCTGTAATGAGCTTGCTCATGGATCGGGCCATGAAAGTGCACTCGGAATAACCCACTCCACACACGGGGTGGGGGGGGGGATTTGTGCCTAAACACTGCCCCCCCCCCCCCCCTGCCCCAACCCCCATTACTCGCTTCAGAGAAGGTTATGTGGTCTGTCAGTAACAATGGCCACTGGATGTCATCTGTGAGGATGCAACAGTGACACAATGCTCAATTAAACGGCCTTGGGTGGGAAATTTCCGGTAAACAGCAGGGTGCCAGAGGTAGCTCAGTGGGGCTGCCGTAATGAGCAGGCAAGCACAAAAGACATATATATACACTAATGGACATCTACACTGAAGGGCAGTGACATTCCCACTCGTACAGAACCACAAACCATGGCCTTCACTTCATTAGCCAGAGAAGCACTGCTTCAGCCACAGTGGGCTTCTTTGGATGGGATGGCCAGAAAACTGCTATGATCCGATTACAAGCTTCCCTGCTGGCTCCATCGCTTCCCCCGAGTGCCGGGTGGGACTTGTTAAGGAGCCACTCTAGACATTTATTAAATAATTCCCGTTAATTCTCACCCGGTGTGGGCACGTCGGGACGTCTGCCGAGCGCCTCGTTAAAGGGGGGGAACGGAGAGGATTGGCCCCTATGTGGAGAGGTCACTTTGATGGGATCGTTATGATCGTTAGACACACTTGACAGCCCAGGAAACCAGAACAAGCTGAGCCACAAAAACAACAAGGGGTCTGAACACAGTAAGGAGTCCAGGCCTCATGTGTGGATTAGAACAGACCTTTTGAACAAGGACCTTTGGGTCAAAACGTTATTAAAATGAAGCTTTGAGTATGAGACGAACACGAAAAAACGAATAGCCTGAATCACGAAGCTGGGTTTCTTGCTTAGCCGGATAACTTGTTGGATTTAAGGTGCCCTAGTTTAAATGGACTTTATCTTTGTTTTATTTACCCCAGACTACCATAAATCTGCCAAGTTATCCAGCTAAGCAAGAAATCCAGCTTTGTGATACACGCCCCGGGAGTAAAGTAGCTTAGCCACTGTTAAAGGAATGCATCAGGATGACAGTTACCTAAATATACAGCATGCTGGCAAAAATACATTATAAGAGCAATCAAACTTAAAATTTTATGGGGATGGGGACAGGCAATTTGAGACAAACAAAAAAAAAACACATGCTGTAAAAGCCTAATGAAATAATTTTTTCCCACAATGTACCTTTCCATTGAAAGGTGTGTATAAGAGCATCCAGGTCAAGGGTCAATTTTGCTCTCCACTCTGAAACGTAGGACAGGAAACAAGGCAGCATGTTGTGCCTGAGACAGTAAAAGGCACAATGGAAGCACAGACTGGACCCTCTCAAACATGCTTCACTTTACGGGCCAGAAAGCTTTCAGTAGAGGTTTGATTCTGGGGAAAAAAACTATGCTATACAGCAGCTAAAAAAATGCCCCATAGAAACGTTTCCAGGGTTCTTCAGAACGAACACATCAGGTGCAGAGACTACTCTGGGACCAAAGAGGTGGCTTTTCGGTCATTAAATGGCTAAGCCATGCTGGAGCCTCTCTGAATGTAGTTTACAATGGCCTTCTCCCAACACCATCACTGTGCCCCGTTAACGCGTACAAAAGGCATGCAGATCAAACGTTCAGTCCTTAAACATTCAGAGACCGATAAAAGATTCAGCCACTCATGCTCGCAGAGTGAACATGAGCAGGTACAGAAATTAAAATGATCTGCAACATCTAAAAAGTTAACTTGCAAAAAAAAAAAATGCAGATAATCACATCACACTTCTTAATTAAATACACTGGGACAGAGCGAAAATGTTTATGTTCCTGCAGGGAAGGTTGACAGGTTACAAGACGGGGCATGAATCCAGGAAATCTTGGCGACTAGGTTTGACACACAAGCCAGGCGAATTCAAGCATTGCAAAGACCCCACCAAGCGCTCCCCCGACGGTGCGGGTCTGAGGGACGTGCTGTCCCAACATCACCGGCGTCACGCCAAGACTCAGCCGATGACATCAGCAAAACACCAGCTTCTGTGGCACTCGCCTCCAAATTCCATCTCCCCGTTCCAACTAAACTCTCTGCAGAATTACAGCAACCCAGCGCCTGCCAAGACAATCAGCTCCGTGCCTTTTCTCTAATTAATTAATATTCCTTCTAAGTCTGCGGGCATCCTACTTAAACTGTAGCGGAGAAAAGTGACTAGGACAAAACTCATACACAGATCCGACCCAGAGAAGGTCTTGACATTGTGGCGACGCTTCCTGACATTTTAGCCATAATCACGTTAGCTAAGAGGCAGACAAGAGATCAAAGAGGCGGACAAGGGAGCTAAAAGATGGACACCTAACAGCAGTCTGCACAGAGGGCTGGAGAAGTGGTTTGTGGGGATGAAATCCGGACAAGTGGACACCCTAGGAGTGACACTTGGCGGAAATGCGGAGATACTACTGTATATACTGCTGCCTGTGGTCTCCTGGCATTCTTTCATTCTTCTCATTTTTCCTGTTTGATGCACCATTTTGTATAAATGATGTTATAATGAACTGCCACACACTCTTGTCAAGTGCTTCGGGGTGACTGTTGTGAAAGGCACTGTATAAAAATGAATTGAACTATTCCCGGGCCAGGCTGAGGGGGGCAGCGGGGAGCAGCTCTTACCTTCTTGAGGAGGCGGGTGGAATCCTCGCTGACCTGCATTATGCGCATGATGACGTTGTTGAGGTACAGGTCGCTGAGCGTGGCGTGATCTCGGCTCTCCCGCCGCACCTGGTTCAGCAGCAGGTACCAGCAGTTCACCGGTGACAGAAGGTTCTGGTCCTTCCTGAAGAAGTATGACAAAACAAACAAAAAAAAACCACAACAAAGCTCAGTGGAGGTTTCAAAGTGAGGCATTTCTTTAGAACAGATCCCAGTTCCCAGCCCAGTGACATTCATGTGAACCCAGCACACAGTCTGTTATTGTCCAGGCCGTACCATTACAAAGAACAGCGGGGTCCGTCAACATGCTTTTACACATTTAATAAAAATGACAATTAAAATAAGAGAAAACAAACTGTCAGGCAGAATCCAGAGCGACGGGAACCAGGAAGGCAGACTGTCGGTCAGAAGGTGCCCTGTTTAGTGAGCGGGTTTTTGTGAGAAAGTTGTTTTCTTAAGGTGTGAATTACGCCCAGGCTTACCCCATCGACGTACAGCAGCGGGGGGGGGGGCGGACCAGCCCAGACACATCGCAGCACTGCTTAAAAATTGCTCCTGAATCTAGAGGAACCGCACGGCCGGCATACAACAAAGCGTCTGGTGTTCCCGGGAATGCTGCGTGAACATTCCGGGGCCCGCAGATGGCCCACATGAAACATATAGTCTTTTACACCCCCCCAAACCCCCCCCTGCCTCCCAAGGGATGCAGCGAACTATAGCAGGACCTAAACGGGGCAGGCAGTGGTCAGACGGAACGTCTTCAAGTGGAAATGATATTTAAAAAAAAAAAGAGACTTGTCGGAGTGCCGTTTCCACAGCGAACGCCAGTCTGGTCGCTCTGGATCTGACTGAACACGCAGACGGGTTTGAGGGGAGGATAATGAGAGCAATGCAATAATGTAACTGCAGAAACATCACGATAAAGAGAAACACTTCACAGCAGCTTAAGGGGATTAGAAATGAGTGTCAGTAATTATAGGATCTGTGTTCAACAGTCAAAATCTCCCTAACAAACAGCTTGGGCTTACTGACACTTCCTGACTTGGAATTCCTAGTACTTTTGTCTCTGGGTTCAGCAGAAGGGCAGAGGAGGGCACGCCCAAACGGCCTGAACACCGGCACAAGCAAGTCACCGCAAGGTTAACCAGTTTCAGCTGTAGCTTCATCGGCCTGGTCTACTGTCATCTCTGTCCATGACCTCTATCTGTGGGTTGGATTACTGCCTCTAGTGGACGGTGATGACGTCTGTTAGACAAGATAAAAGCAAAGAACTGGAACTGGGCTGAAGAAAAAGGTGAGAAGATCAAAAAATAAGGAAGGGGGTGGGAAACACACACACACACACACACACACACACACAAACACACACACACGTTTGCACTCATATCTTTGTGGGGACTCTCCATTCATGCCGATGTGAAAAACCTGAATCCCAACAACGACAACCTCAACCCCTACCCAGCCCTAATCTTAACCATAAGTAACCAAAACGAAATATAAGACTTTGGGCATTTTTTGATAGCACTAACAGATTTTTATAAAATTGAGTTTCGCCATTCTTTTGGACCCTGCAATGTCAAAATGACACTCTCACTCACTCTCTCACTCACACTCACACTCACGAGGGTGTGTGACTCAGCAGCTCATGCTTGTAATCAGGAGGTCACTGGTTCAATCCCCTGAGTTTTTTTCCTGAACTTATGTTAAATAAAAGGCAAAATAAACCACCATGTGCCCTGTCATATGTCCTCTGGATGTCCAGCCAAAACCATCTGTCAGCCTGGAGGAGACAAGAACGCAGCAGAACTGCATGGAGGCCCAGCTCCAGGCACATCACTGCCGACCAGGAAGCACTGGCCACTGTACCCCACTGTAAAGACCACCCTCCAGCTGTGCGGCCCCGTCCCTGAACCACGGGGATCAGAGGTGTGGGGGCGAAATAGACCGACGGAGCAAAACATCCTGGCATGAGGAAGCGCCGTTATTTTCAACTGGAAAAACAGAAAACAAGCTGGGATGAAAGACAGAAATCATATGACTGGAGTAAAGAGAAAAAAACACCCTCTGCTGCATTTTTTTTTAACTGGTGAATAAATAAAAAGGGAATTACAACCAACTGCAGGGGTGGCGCAGTAGTTACCACCGCTGCCTTACACCACTGGGAGCTGGGTTCTAGTCACTGCCCTGAATCCATGTGTGTGGAGTTTGCATGATCTCCCCATGTGCTCATGAGGGTTTAAACTGTCCGTAGGTTGGTGCCTGACCCTGGGTTATTCCCTGCCTTGGGCTCCTAGCTTCCGGACCGTGTACAGAAAATGGATGCACAATGAACTGCTATTCCACATCATCACACAGTGTGTCTACAGCACTGCGTTCTGAATGCATTCTGTTGTCTCCCATCGACCTGCATGATAGGTTTGATTTTCACAACCACAAAATGGACGATTCTGCCAAATTCAATAGATGGCCTGGGATCTTTAAGCTTACTGATGCTACCGTGACCAGAACCCCTTCAACAGGGTACAGACTCAGCGGGCGGAGCTGAAACGAGGCATTGGATCAGACAGTAAACTGGGTCTGGGCCTCTGATCGGATTCTCCAGCATCAGAACCCAGAGAGACCGGATTTCTCATAAACTAGGAAATATAAAATCACGTCTCTGTAATTAGAGAGTCCTTCTACAGGCGAACAGGCATGCGCTGTGAAATTAGAAGCACTGAGTACTGCGGACGGCCTCACAGCAAAACCCTGTAATCATGACGGAGGGGGAGGGAATCACGTGCACTCAGAAAAACCTCACTACTGCAAGGGGAACGCTGTGATGGGCACCGGCCAAAAAAGGCACCGAGGACCGTCCTCGGTGACCCAGGACGGAGATCCAGCTTGGGGTCACTGTCCCTCACAGGACAAGCGGGGAGCAAAAAATGGTAGGTACATTATTCAGCAGGATTCAAATGTGAAACGGCACCCCCTGCAGTATGCAAGCCCGACGGAGCAAAACCCACTGCGAGGAATAGGCTGATGCACCCTGGGAGAAAACACATGGGTTCTGCGTCAGCACCAAGGTGGTGGATGGAATTTCGGGAAGTGAATACGTACTTACGCGACTCCTGGCACGACTACAGTCTGACACGGCTTTTGTGTCAGGACTAATAGACGCTTGCCAGAGATCAGGTTTACGTCTGGCTGACATTCTCAGTCTGCAAACCTATGAGCAGTAAATGAGGTTAGCATGCTAGCGGCTACCACACTGCCGCACAGTATGTCTAAGGTCCTTTTAGCCACAGGGTAACCTTCATTGGCAGGACTCGGAGCCTATTTGTGGCCTATTTGCACATCACCATTCATCCCTCCATCTTCCATATGACTTATTTTACCCAATAGGATTAAAATGCAAAGTCTAAATCAGTGCTTCTCCATCCAGTCCTTGGCGAATCCTAGACAGCCCATATATTCCCTCCCTCTTACCTCCCAATCACACCTGTACCGGGGGGGGGGGGGGGGGGGGCAGGACTGGGTAGAGAGACATTGGTCTAAAATTAAGAAAAACAAAACCTACTGATTCAGCAACTGATGTGCAATAATTTAACAAGCCTGTGAAATCACTCATTTCGCCACCTGCTGGATTTGCATATTGAAGCCTAATTATATGAATGCCTAATCGGCAGAGCTGACATTTTAATATAGCACTTTGGTTATTGGGGTTATCGATGTCAAAATGCAAACGAGTCCATATGATTATGGGTTACAAACCGTGATCTGGCTGGTGTGAATCCTAAAGTGGGGAAAATCTGAATAAAGAAGAAGTCGCAGAGTCGAACGAGTTGGTCTACAGACATAATTCATGCCATCTCGTTGCTGTGGCACCCCCCCCCCCCACCGCCAGCACAGTCAACACTCCCAGGCAGGCAATAAGGCACCATTCCTGAAGGCAGGATGTGGCCGCTGTGTCAAGGCTCGTAGAAACGCTGCGACCAGTGCATCATGGGAAAAAAAGTCATGAACGCGTCCACACAGGAAATAAAAGGCCCCCAGATTTCCTGTCCAGCTGTGTGCCTCAAATCTTTCTACCACCAAGAACACCAGGCAGTCATGTGGGCGGGAAGCAGACAGATCTGTGAGGACTAGAGCGTGACTTTCTGCTACTTCTCCTGAGTGTTTTGTGCTTGGAAAAATGTGGGGAAAAACTCTTAAAAGGACATCTGTCCTGCTGTGACTAGCAGTGCATGTCTCTGGGGTGAGAAGGGACGTCTCACAAAATAATACACTACATGCAAAAATTGCTGAAAGAACTAAGCAAAAGTTTTTACGGGGACACAGCGAGAGGCTCCACTTCCCGATGTAAAAAAAAATAAGCAAACCCTCTTTCTTCGACTTCCTCTGCGTCTGTCTGCGATGCAGATGTTAAACAGGGATCGTCTGAACATCTAGCCAGGGATGATCTTCTGCATTAACCAGAAATGTGAAAAACTAGTTCGCACACCAACCCATATTTGGTACAGCTCACTAATTACGAGCCTGATGATTAGTGACCGGTTTGGTGGAGTACAGGCCTGGCAGGAAGGAGCTTCCCTCTCCGGCGTGTCCCGGTTCTGTCCCGGGCGGCACTGTTCCGGCCTTCATACGTCACACTCGCAGCTGAGAAGATGGAAGGGAATCTGCCGCTATGGTCTCATCACACCGCAGAAGATCGATCCCCGGTCCGCACAGGGATACACCTCAGGCTGCAAAAAGCAGTTTTATCTTTGGGCTTGTTGCTTTTTCTCTGATAAACTGAGGTCGTCTCCTTTCCGAAGGCGTCTTCGGGGGGGAAAGATCTCCTGCAGCTGACGGAACGCTCCAGAAGAGCGCGATCTTCAGGGATCCACTCGCACATCACAAGTAGAAAAATAATAACGCGAGACCCTGAGCTGAGGTCCCCTTGGGGCCCCTGGACCTGGCCAGCCGCCGCCAGAGTCGTCCTGCCCTGTAGAAGTCCCCCCCCCCGCCGCCCCCCCTGAGTTGAATTACGACATTCAGACTAAAAAAAATAACAAAACAAGAAAAAACACACACACTGATCAGCAGCAGTCTGGCCGCGTGGAAATGACAGCTAATTAGGCAGCGATTTCAGTGGCCATGGCGCACACAGCTGCGCGGGTCTAGCGGTGACGCCGGGGACGTGGGGGGACGCCGGGGACGTGCGGGGACGCCGGGGACGTGCGGGGACGCCGGGGACGTGCGGGGACGCCGGGGACGTGCGGGGACGCCGGGGACGTGCGAGCCAGCAGGCCTCTGTGTAAATACACCCCGAAATGAGCGGCCTTAGCAGACCGACAGAGACCACTCGGTCCCACCAACACAGACAGGGGGTGTTTGCTTTTCATATTTAGTTCTGTGGAAGAAGCTTTTTAAAGAATCTGTACACCCTCTCTACACACTGCATCGCCTGTCTTTTATTTTTTATTATTTTGCAAAGAAAAACTGGGAGGATCAGGACCCCACACTGACTGTGGATACATCTGCTAAAGCCATGGTTTTTTTTTTCCCTCCCCCAGTCTATATGCAGACTGAGGAAAACATATGTGGCCTTTTCATTCTAGGCACTTTTCTCCCCCCGCAGTGCAAATAAAACGCAAATGTGTTTTCCAGGCGGACTGCACCTACGGAGAATGGACCCAGCGAAGACTGCAGGCCGAGACTGCCGGCTCCAGGGAGACGGAGACGGACACACACACACACACGCGCAAACGCACACACACACACACACACACACGCGCGCACACACACACGCGCGCGCACACACACACACGCACGCACGCACGCACGCACGCACGCACGCACGCACACACGCACGCACACACACACGCACGCACACACACACAGGGTTTCACGGTGGAGGTACCCTGACCCTTGCATGATAAATTTGCTACGGTATCCAGATTTAAAAAGCCCTGCTGTGGATGTAAATGACAAGCCCTGAAAACAGAGCCTTGTCTTCTAATCCCTCCATATGGAAACTGCCACAAAATGCATCATTTGACCTGCCCCTCAAAACCTCGGAAGAGTGCAACATGAGTGGAAGAGCATCCTTACAGCAGATAGTTAACCACAGCAATGTGGGGGAGGGACATTACCCAAAGCTTCTGTGGGACACTGAGCTTCAATGATTCATAATCATTTATTCATAGCTGGAACAGACATCTTTAAATGGCAGGAGGAGTCACATGCTATTAACTTCAGCTCAGGTCTCAGGATGCAGGAAGAGTATTACCAGCGATATGACTAAGATGGGCCTCTTTACAGCCTTAAGGTCGACCAACAACACATTAAAACATTAGATGAGATCCTCCAAAAAGCTCCCCAAACACTCACTTGTACTGCTGGTGGTCCTTGGTGCTGCGCGTCTTGGCCATAAAGCGCTCAGCCAGCTTCTCCAGGTTGCGCGAGTACTCCACCTCGATCTCGGCCTTCTTCCGGAAGAAGTCCTGCAGGTCCTGGAGGAGCTGCACACGCATGTCCGTCTGCTGCTCCAGGCATTTCTGCTGCTCCACCAGCTGGGTGCGGATCTCTGCGGGGGGGGGCGGAGAAAACGCTCCATCACCATCACCCAGCTCTTGATGTGTTGCTGGGTGCTTTAAACCCAAATGCTGCCTCTTATTCAGAGAGTCGCGCCAGCCAACATCCCTGGGCAGGTGGGGTTAAGGGTCATGCTCAAGGGCCCAACGATGACACTGCCAGCCACAGGATTCAAACCCACAACCTTCCAGACATGGGCACAGATTCATAACCCCCTGAGCTGCACACCACCCAGAAAGAAATAGAAATTTGAAACACATGAAGTGGAAACTTAATCATCTTATTATGCCATCATATTTGTCCCATAGAAACAAAGCTGCACTGTTCAGATAGGTAACCTCACTGGCCACCAGGCCAAGCTGGAACTGGAGGGCTTCATACCAGTTATTTAAAGGGAGCCCTACCAAAAAAAACACCTCATTCACAGTGTTTAAACCGCTGTAAACGCAAAACTTAGAGAAGGGCAGCACAATCCAGTCAAAGGGAAGCAAGTCTAACAGATATAAGCCGACCTAAAAATTCCAGATAGGGACCTCCACCCTCGTTCAGGAAAAGCAAGATGATCCTCCGAATTCCCTCCATTCTGCGACTCCTGCACCCCACCCCCCCACTCACACTGCACATCCCTCATCAAAATTTGCATCCCGTACAAAAGGCAGGCGCTGGCGGAATGGCAAAGCGACCCCCGCCCATCTCGTGGGAGCCTCCCCATGTATAATGTGGCGCTCCAGCCGTACAGGGAGCAGGGCCTGGCATTCAGCCACACAAAGGGAGATTCTAACACCCCCAGGAAACCACAGGAAGAACCGCACACAGAGTTTGGGTTAAAAAGATAAGAACGACCAGGACACTTCTATTTTAATCAAAACATTCTCAAATGTCATCCTTAATTACATACAGTTATTACATACCTTCTAAACTGATAACAAAATGCTAACGTCTGCATACATTTCATTTGAACAATGTCCTTGAAAAAAATGGCCAAAATAGACTAAAAGAATTAAGCCAAAGTGTAATATATAATATATAAACTATAAAACTTATAGTTATATAGCTATAGAGTCGTCTTGATGCCTCTAGCATGTCTGCCCTTATGCGTTTTCCTCCCGCCGCGGCTCGACGCCATGCCGTACCCTCCCGCCGCGGCTCGACGCCATGCCGTACCATCCCGCCGCAGTTCTATAAGCTGACCGTACAAAGACTCATGAATAACATTAGCAACTTGTCCAGCTCAAGTGACACATAGTGAGAAGATTTCCTTGAAAATGATCCGCCCAGAGCTGCTTTTCAGTGAGTTTCAGTGCAAAAAGCAAAGGGAAGAATGATATAGCTAAGAGAAGGTGGGTTTGCAATTTAAAGCTTAAATGTTTGCTATTTTTTGAGGTACCATCAAGATGAAGATCGGGACTGGATTCCTGTCAAGCCTTAGGAAGCTAGTTTAACGCAGAAACAAGACGACATCATTGAAATAATCATCCAATGCGCGCAGCCGTCTAATTTCCAAAGATTTTAGGAAACACCAGCACAAAGTAAGTGAACAGATCATTAAGGGCGCTGGGTCTTGATCACACGATCACGAGCAGAGAGGTCAGTGCAGAAGGGAGAAAATGTCAATGAAGTGCAGAAGTGAAGACACTGCAGCTTGACAAGGCTTAAGACATTTCTTAATGACAATGATTTAAGCTTTTCTGCTTCACGAATGACCCCCTACTGCCCTTGAGAAGAGGACTCACTTGCAAGCTGCAGCCATATTGCCATCCACGTGCTTTCAGTGACCAACTCTTTTCCAAAGATCAGCCATGAATCATCTGAAATTTCCCTAGTAACACAACCATAGCAGTTCAAACATCAAGGTTCTTTTTTTCTCTCAAATCATTTAATCCAATTGTTCCGGGCTGTTCAGAGCATTTCCAAAATCACCAAAATACCGATTTAATCCATCGGCAATAAGTGCTTCCCCTGATCTTGATAAACAGAGGCTTTTAGTGAAATCTCACATTCTGGAGGGAGCAACTTTTCATAGAAGAGTTAAAGCAGGCAGGAAATTAATGAGAAGAGCTGGTATACAGAAGACGATGAGATTCTCCCTCCAACGCGGGAGCAGACAGCAGTGATTGATGGCCAAGACATAGAAAGACATAGAAGACCTTGTGGTCTTTCTCCATAAGGAGGATCTTATTTTTTATGTAAAAATATACGGCAGGAGCAAGAAAACATAAAAGAGCCTCATCACGGTCTCCCAGCCCTCTCAAATATAGGGAACAGGGTTCGACATCGTGTCCAGAAGGATCTGATATTTATGAACAGGGTCAAGTAAATTAATAGATCCTGTTATAGCTGCAAGGTTGTCTAGGATCATTAATCAAGTCAGCCAGGGAAACAAAAAATACCATCTATGCCAACAACTTGTTAAGGTGCTCTTGGGACAGCAGATGATTGAAACACACTCTCACATTAATCTGTCCCAAATGAAATGATCTTATCTCCTTATCCTAATTTATTCAAAGGTAGGATCCGATGGCATCATCTCATCAGTCAACGTGAGCTGCATGCTGGAGCTTCAGAGAGGATCCTGAACGGTCGGCCTCCTCCAAGCAGCAAGGAGGTGACCTCTCAACATGGCACGAGTCCTAGCATATTTTAACTCTGTTTTATGCTGATGCTTAAGATTAGTACTTAAAAATTTAAAGTCAAACCAAATCAAATAAAGCATTTGGGCTGAATACCTTCCACTTGTCACAATCCTGAAACAATTCCAGGACAGATATTTGGGTTTGTATTAAAAAAAACCTCAGGGGTAAGACTCTACACTTAGCGCTGAGGTTTTCCAGGTCACACGGAGTACCTGAGATGGTTTCATATGAACTGCGGTCTGTCACTGATCAAAGGCGCTCGGACAGGCCTAAAGTATCAAATTTTATGTCAACATTCCTCCATAAAAGGGCCTGCCTGAAAGTCAACCATGATTAAAACTGCCTGCCTGCTACTGAACTGTGAAGATCTGTCACATAACACATTAAATTTAGATTCCAAAGTGGGTTTTTCTTTAACGTTCAATTATCATTTGATTTACACAACATGCCTTCCACTCTGTTCTGGCCTCCTTGATGTACACGGCCTGTGTAATTATCATCTCGACAGAAGTTTCGGCTCGTCTGGTACCTCCAGCTCGCTCCCTGATCTGCGTCATGTGACCCTCTGATTACAGAGGACATACCAAGGCCTGCGAGGTCATTCACATGGTAAACATCTGCGTGCAGGGGGTGAGCGGAGCCCACATCAAAGCCCCCTGTGATCTGCTTAAAACCGGGGGAGGAAGAATGGAAGCACCTGTAGGCCAAGGAGCAAAGGCAGAAACCCAAGGAGCAAAGGCAGAGTTCTACAGGAGTTTATGGCAGAATGACCAGGCCCTCAGGCATCTTGCTGGCAGAGACCTGGTTTCAAGTGTGAGCAGGACTTTCATCATGATTCAAAATGTCTGAGCTGCAGGAAAACCCCACAGCTGTCGTCCTGTAGATCCATTCCACCATATGGTGGGGTACGGGTCTGTGGAGAAGACATTACAGGACAAAGCCTCAGAGTTTAACTGCAACCACTTTGTTCCTGACAGCATGGTGTCCACAGGTCCCAACAAAAGACCACAGATACCCACAAACCTCTTTCTCCAGGTGGTCTACTTCTAATCTCTAATCCCTTTTTAAGTCCCAAGCCTCAATGACCAAGATGGCTACAAATCATTCTGTAATCTCGTCCTCCAGTTCCAAGACAGAACTTGACTAGATCTTTCCTACAAGAACATTCATAGTCAGTCACAAACCTCCCTCCCTGTGGTTTTTCAGATCCAGCCTCATCATTTTCCTTTTTTTAATCATGTTTGAAGATCTGCAGATGCCCATTAACAAACACTGGCTTGTTAATGATCCATATCTCATCTTCTGCCAAGGCCGGCCTGGGCCATACCTACCAGCATTTTTCATTTGGGTGAAATTCACCAGCAACACATAAAAATATCTGTGACATACAGTAAATGTGGCTCCATCTTCTCTATGCAGCATTACAGAGGACAACCAAACTTGAAGGGAGAAAGGTCATTCAATAATGTCCAAACATGCATCCAACTTCTATTCAGAGACGCTAATCAGGCTAAATGCCTAACTTACCACGCAACACTGAAACTGGCAAACTCCATACGTACAGACACACCCCTACAGAGCCAGCACACCACCCAATAACATTTTTAATTTCGTAAAGGCTTTTCCTTTGAATGGTCCTTCCCTCAGAGCCCTATATATCAAGTCCGCATTCGGAACAGTGAAGCAGAGAGATCAAATTGCATCACTACATGAATAACTGTTGTCTCAAAACTCCGCTCACGTACTTAACATAAAGCCGCACCAGTGTTTGTCAAAGGCAGTGTCACGCAGTCGCCTAAGCTTTTAAACAAAGGCTAGAAATTCACGACAGTCATTTTCAAGGGCCGGTTATCCTAACCAAGGTCTCTGACGTGAGAGCCAGAGAAGGCCAACCACAGGGTGAAGCTTGGCCTCAGCGACAGCAGGCCGCTTGGCGTCATTCTACCCCGGTGAGGAGAAGATGGCACAGCACACGCGACAGGGGGTGGGGTCAACGGCACAGAGCTGTCATGCAGACGAGAGCATTCGCCAAGACACAGGGCTAGACAGGGTCAGAACCACGAGCAGATACTCAGGGCAGGAGAGATACTGTCCAAGGCAGACTGAGGGATCATGTGAGGTTCTTCACTGGAGACATTTCCAGTCTAAGGATATGAATAGAATGATAGAATGTCACTGAATAGAACGTCACTGTAGGATGTTAGGAAATATAGGATGGACCACAGAGTATCTACACACGAAGACAGGCAAGGCAGAGCAAGAGTGTCTACTCTCCTGCGCCGAGTTGCCTGTCATCCATACATACAGAATTTTGTGTGTGTGTGTGTGTGTGTGTGTGTGTCTGTTTCTATGCTTTTAA